GGTGCCGCCGGATTTCAGAAATGTGACACATCCCTTGTGTTTTCGGACCCTTACCCCGCCGATCTGCGTGAGGGGTGCCACCGATTTTCAGGAATGTGGCAAATCCCATGTGTTTCTTGACCCTGACCCCGCCGATCTGCGTGAGGGGTGATACCGAATTTCAGAAGTCTGGCAAATCCCATGTGTCGCCGATCTGCGTGAGGGGTGATACCGAATTTCAGAAGTCTGGCAAATCCCATGTGTTTTTTTACCCTGACCCCGCCGATTTGAGTGAGGGGTGCCACCGAATTTCAGAAATGAGACACATCACTTGTGTTTTTGGACCCTTACCCTGCCGATCTGCGTGAGGGGTGCCACCGATTTTCAGGAATGTGGCAAATCCCATGTGTTTCTTGACCCTGACCCCGCCGATCTGCGTGAGGGGTGATACCGAATTTCAGAAGTCTGGCAAATCCCATGTGTTTTTGGGCCCTGACCCCGCCGATTTGCGTGAGGGGTGCCGCCGAATTTCAGACATGTTGCAAATCCCATGTGTTTTTTTTGTGTTTTTTGACCCTGAACCCGCCGATTTGAGTGAGGGGTGCCGCCGAATTTCAGAAATGCTGCAAATCCCATGTGTTTTTTGACCCTGACCCCGCCGATCTGCGTGAGGGGTGATACCGAATTTCAGACATGTTGCAAATCCCATGTGTTTTTTGACCCTGACCCCGCCGATCTGCGTGAGGGGTGTTACTGAAGTTCAAAAATGTGGTACATCCAATGTTTTTTTGATCCACCCTGCGGATCTGCGTGAGAGGTGTCGATTTTTACCCCCCCCCAGAAATTCTGAGAACCCTCCCAGGGCGTGGTAGTTCTGCTGGTTTGGGCTCCCCCCCCTCGCGCGTTCATCAACAAGGAACAGTAAGCAGCAAGAAGCAGAACTGTCACAGGGGAAACTGGAAGCTGCAACTGGCACAGGGAGCAGCACATTCCCGGCCTACATCCTGGTGGCCCCACAAGAGGGCTGGCGAATTCATTTTTCACATATATATATATACATACATACATACATATGTATATACGCAGGTATATATATGTATACATACATATGGTCAATTCATGTTTGAACCCGTTGGTCTTTTTTTGTCCGTTTGGTCCTTGTTGGACCTTGTTGTCTTTGTTGTCCTGTTGGTATGTTTGGTTATTTCGGTCGTCGCGGTGGTTGTTTGGACCTGTTGATCCGATTGGTCTTTTTGGTAGTTGTTGGACCCGTTGATCCTTTCTTCGGTCCGTGTGACAGTTGTCGATTCCTGTCTGGTCTCTCGGACACATTCGCTATTTGCTTGGTCTTCGTGGCACCGTTCGGTCTTCGCCGCCAAAGGAAGTGATTTGGTATTGCCAGCGCCCACGCGGTTTTTTGATGAACTGGGGGACCCCACAGTTGTGTCTCCTAGTGTGGCTTGGGTCTCCCACGTTGCCCCCTAAACGTTGCAAATAAGAGGGTGGTTCGACTGAGTTTTCTACATCATTTCGTGGGGTAGCAGCAGGATTGCGATGGGCAAGCGCTGTCTTATTGTTGTGTCAAGGCATGTCTTGCGCGCCGATGCTCCTGTGCATTCTGGGGTGTGCGATTCGCGCAAAGCGCGGTCGCCCCATGTGTTTGCGTTGCTGTCTTTGCTGGACATGTCAAATTAAGAGGCAGACCACTGTCCTGGTGTTAGTCCCCTCCCACCCCGTTCCCTCCTCCCTCCCCCATCCTCCCTACTCGTCCTCCTCGCCGTCCTCCTCTTCCGTCCTCCTCTTCCATCTACTTATCATCCTCCTCCTCCGCCCTCCTCCTTTTCCTCCTCCTTTTCCCACTCTATCTCTTGCTTCTCCTCCTCTTCCTCCTCCTCCTTTTCCTTATCCTCATCGTCGTCGTCGTCGTCATCCCCCTCCTCTTCCTCCTCCTCTTCCTCCTCCTCCCCCTCCTCCTCCTCCCTCCCCATCCCCCCTTCCCCCTCTTCATCCTCATCCTCCTCCTCCCCCTCCTCCTCCTCCTCCTCCTTCTCCTCATCATTATACTCCCCGTTTTTCCCCACGCCCCACCCCCCCCCCTCCCGAGGAGGCGACCCAAGCAAGGCCGCACGTATAAGCAGCGTCAGAAAGTGCCCCAAATCCGTGTCAAACGTGTTGCGGGGGCCAGGACTGCTTTAGGGCGCCATTCCAGATAGATGTTTTTGTCTGGTGGGCTTTCGGCGGCTACTTGCGGTTGCGGAATCCAAAGTGTTTCGGATTTTTGTGGAGGGATATAGTCGTGTGTTTGGAGGATTGATGAGCCGGGTGTTGGGTCCCGCTCCTTAGCCACTTTGGGCATCCTTGGAGGACGATCCTTGCTGGGTTCCCTCGGTGCCCCCTGTCGTGCGGCACGCTGAAGACAGATGATTCAATGTAACTCAGGGAGTGTCCGCTTGATGCTCCATTATGTCACTTGGGGGGGGCATGGTCTTCCGCCTCTGCTGCTCTAGATCCGAGTTGGAGGTCCTGTTCTGGGCCACTATGGGCTACCCGTTTTTCTTCATTGTGTATCGGTTGGGACATGCCCGGTTTCGCCAGTGTTGCTTCATACCAGGGTGCGAGGATCAGCCTCACCACCACCTCCCCGAAGCTTGTCAAACGATTCTTGCAAGCGGGTTTGTTACAAGCGCCAGAGCGTTCCCCGGGGTAGAAGCAAGGTTATATTGGTCGCGCGTGTGTCGTCATAGTGAAGGCTGGACTTTGTTCTCGTAAGCTGCCAGCATTCGCCTGCGACGGGGGGCTGGACGCGTACCAGGGCCCAAGAGGCAGGATACGTTCTGGAGGATATCGTGTGCGCCCTGTGTCGGCGTGCTCCCGACACCACCTTCCACAGGCTCTATGAGTGCCCCGTGCCTCAGCCCCAAATCGAAGAGATTGTAGATCAGGCGTTCTTGCAGAGGGCTCTAGACACGCCTCCTGACCATTTAGACTACATGGCGTACATCAAGGGTTGCTTCCTTCACCCTGCTGAACAGCGGCCCAACCTGGCGGACGACATGGGGATCAAGCTCTCTTGGGTGTCGGATTAGATTTCCATGTGTACCGAGACGTTTGGGCATGTATTTGTTTGGTGTTTGATTGGCGGTTCCGCCACACATCTCGACATACCATACTTAGATCGGTTTAGTTGGGGCATGTTTGTTTTCAACCATACCGTTGAGCACGATTGTGTTTGTTCGAGGGCCATTTGGGCAAACTTCCAAAAACTCCCGAGGTTGGCAAGTTCGACGCTTACGGTGCTGCGAATGAGTGTTTGGCTGGTCCTTTTAAGGGGTTTAGTAACTGCACTAACGTCGTCAAGCAGTTCGCATTGCCCCCAGACCGGCAAACACCTTACAAGCGGCTTGACGCTTCGATGCTCCTCAAGAGGAACATTTTTTTTTGGTTGCTAAGTTTAACCGGTTCGGAAGATCCTTCTTCTACCAACAATCTCCTAAACCGTGGAAACAACGCAGCCGACCTCGTCTTGCCAAGCCGAGAGGCGCTTCCCACCCACATCATTCGCATAATTAGCACAGGAGTTGCAGCGTTTGTGTAAGAAGGCCAGACTTACCTGTAGACTTGCTCACTCATGATGTGCATCTTGTCCGAAGCTCGACATCACAGGTGTTCCCCGGGTGCGCAGTTGCCCCCCTGCGGTCGCGGTGCAAGAAGAGTCTCAACAGCATGTGTGGAAATGATTTCATTCTGTTGGGATGTGCCAGACTTGCTTAATATTCAAGCGGTGTTGGGCCTGTGTCACGTTCTTTGCACGACAGGCGGCATCGTTGCGTTGGGCTTGTATGGTCTAACGATAACCATGCTCTGCGTTTGCACTGCATGCTGCGGGTATTCCTGTGGCGGCCACTTCAAGAAGTTGCTAGGCCAGTGTGCTCCAGAGTCCCAGGCGTATGTGGGTAAGTATGTATGTTGCTTCCGTCGTCCGATCTTCAAGCGGAGGACAGCAAACGAAGTTTTCTGGAGTTTCTTGTGCAGTTTTGTTCCCGACGACGGGGAGGAGGAGGATGTCCCCCGAGCCTTGTGAACCCAATCCCTCCGAGGGCTGTGAGGCTTTGGCGGAGTGGGGTTGGAAGCCCTCCTCTTGTTCCCCTTCCCGTCTCGAGCCCTCTCAGCGCGGACGGCTCGAAGCCAGGCGGGCAGTTGCAGCAAGTGAGCGTTTTTATCTTCCTTATTTTGCCGATCGGCGCAGGCCCTCGCACCCCTCCCTCCTCCCCCCCGTGGAGTGGATCTTGGCTGTTTTTTGGCGCCTGATTCGAGCAGGTGGAGCCTCCCCCCCTCCCCCATAGGACGCACGATTCCAAGCAGTTGGACTAAGCAGAGGTTCTGAGCCAGACCCCCCCCCTCCCCCCTTCCGCCCAATGTCGAAACGCCGAATAAAAAAAACGCCCACCAAGTTGTGGAAGCCCTCAGCCTGGAGGGCGCCGTTGCCCTTCTCGTGCCAGCTGCCGGTGCATGCTTTGTCGGACGACTCCGACCGATCCTCGGCCTGGGGCGCTTGCTTCGGTTCCTGTGTCAACCACCGCCGACGCTCCAACCGTAGACACGCTAACGGGGATGTAGGTGACGGCGATGTAGGTTCCGGCAGTGTGGGAACTCGTGGCTCGTGTTTTCCTACAATTCGTTGTGTCGTTTTCGCTCGACACGTTCGCATGTTGGAGATGTAGGAAAGTGTGATCCGTGATTTCCTACAAATGAATTCCCAGCACCACCGTTGAGAAACATCGCCGTTAGCGCGGCCTTGGTCCAACCAGCGGAGCCACTCACCTCCACCGAACTTCCTCCAATCTTGCGGGTACTGCGCCGAGGGAAATTCTCCCCCCCCCCTCCCCCCCGCTCCCTGCCCCCCCTCCTCCATCTCCTCCCCCGCCTCCCCCGCCCTCCCTGCCTCCATCTCTTCACCCCCGCCCTCGCTGGCCCTCCGCGGCACCCCCGCGCCCCGGCGGCTCCCCCGCCCCCCGGGCCAGGACGAGGTCGCCGCCGCCGCGGAGCGCGCCCGCTCCGACGCGGGCCCTGGGCCTAGGGCTCTCCTCCGGCGCCAGGGGGCCGCGATCCTCTGTCCTCTACAGTGGAGGCCCATACCAAGAAGCACCCTGCTCGCCTCCAGGGTGCCTTGGGTTTCTTGGGTTCCGATGGTTTTACCATAGGAAGCGCGGCGCTCCCACGCCAAGAATCGATGCACGTCCTGGGGTCTCATGGTTGGGGTGTCTTGTTGAAGGTTTCCTGTGGTCGGGCCCCTACTCCATCCCCGATCCTCCGGCATCGCGGTGCCGTGCTGGTGCCAGGCCAGCTGAAGGTGTGGCATATATCGTTTCTCGTCGTGGCGTCTCCCTGCCCTCAGTGGGTAGGCCAGCCCCGTTCGAGCCGCACTGGCCATCAGCACTGCGCGACCACTACGGCATACTTGATAGGCTAAGTCGGGCCTGTCCCTCTACAGGAGGAATATTCAAAATAGTAGAAAAATAGTGCGGCGACGAGTTCTTGATCATATTTGAGATTCGAATATTTTGGGTGTTTTTTTTATATTTCGTCCAAAATCCGCCTGCGGGGGGACACGCCCGACCTGATGGTGGGGGGGGGGCCGGTGAGAGCCCAACAACCGCGGGCCCCGCTTAATCTGGAGCTCGTTTTAATCAAATGTCGACGAAGAACAAGTGCACCAACATCAGATGTCGGATCTCCGCGCGGATCGCTTGGATCTGCGTTGGGCCCCCTTGCGCGTTCTGCACGCCGGGGAGGGGCGTCCAGCGCCGCCCCGAGCATTCCGCGCGCGGACCTGCGCAAGTCGATGTTTATGATTGTCCCCGGGAGGGGATCGTGGATCGATCCTCCAGGTTGGCCGTCGTGCTTCTTTGGCTCGGTGGTTGTCTCGAGGATCGATCGGGCGCGCGCTCCGCGCGCCAGGAGGGGGTCCGGCGTGAGTCCAAGGACTCCGCGCATATCTCCGTCAGCTTATGCTGATGTCGCGCCGTGTTCGTTCACAGGTGACCCCGCGCCTCGGCCTGCGGCGGTGCTGGCAGCCGCTCCTGGAGGCGAAAAACATGGCTCCACGTCCGGGCTCGGGCCAGGGAGCCTTCACGGGTCGATCCAGCCCCGGGATCGGGTCGAACGAGAGGGGGGATCTCGAAAGGGGGTACGAACATTGCGGCATGCAGCTGATGTCGGCCCCGCCGCCAGGAGTTGTCCTCGATACGTTGGCGCCCTTTGTGCCGGGAGGCGCCAGGGAAATTGGTTGCACGAGCTGATGCCTCAACCCCCCATTGGTTATCCCTCCCTTGCGTTCGACCCGGCAGATGTCGAACCTCCCAGCCTCCACCCAGAGGAGCGCGACCGGCATCCGGCCGTGCTTTCCCGTCGCCAGGACTCCCCCTCAGGGGCAACGACTGGGGGGGGGGTTAAAGGGGGAGGAGTGAACCCTCTCCGACGCTCCCCCCCCCCCCCCGCGGGCGCGCGCCTGGCGCCGAGGCGAGGAGGCGCGGCGCCTCGGCGCGGAGCTGGCGGAGGCGCCCGCGCACCTCGGCGCGGTGGAGGGTTTCCCCGAAGGGCTTAATTAGGCGGCCCGTCTTCCTCCCCCTCCTCCTCCGTCGCCTCCTCCTCCTCCCCCTCCTCCTCCTCCTCCTCCTCCTCCTCCTCCTCCTCCTCCATCTCCTCCTCCTCCATCTCCTCCTCCGCCTCCTCCTCTTCCTCCTCCTCGGGTCGCCTGCGGCCCTGGGGGAAACCGTGCAGGGCGCGGCCGCGGCTGGCGGCGTCGGTCGTTCGCGGGTCGAGCGAGGGTCGATCGTGCAGCCTCGGAAGTCAGGGGAGGAAGAGGCACCCATGCCTCTGCCGTTCCCTCGTTCTCCCCTGTTTGGGCCTCCTGGGAGGCCCTCGTCGCCACCGCTGGATTCGAATCCAGATTCTTGTCAGAACGCACCCCAGGAGAGGTCCAGTGTCGAAGAAGAAAAAACGTCATAATCATAAACTTTTGGCGCTCCGCGCTGGTTTCTTGGATCCGCGCTGGGCCCCCCTGGCGGCGCCTCCGGCGCCGCTCCTGGCGCGATCCGCGCCAGGGAGGGGGGTCCAGCGCAGATCCAAGAAATCCGCCCGGAACACCAAAAATGTATGGTTATGCCGTTGTTTCTTCTTCTATTCGAGATCAAACTCAAGTTTCCCCCACGGCTCGTGCAAGGGAAGACCTGCACCCGACAGCGACTCCGCGGCCAGGGGTCAGGAGCTCGTTGGCCCGCTCTGCGGAGGTGGCGAAGCCTAAACAATTATCCACATATCAGGAGGGGAAAAAACACAGACACAATGAACCGTCGATTCCCAGGAAACCATTGGATAATACGGGAAGTGGGGGGGGAAATATGAAGACCCAGAAAATATGGGAAAACAAAAGGAGTCTGGGGATTTGTGTGTATTTATTTGTGTGTCCTTGGGCCCCTTTAGTGAGGGACCTGTTCCGTCAACCTCTCGCGCAAGATATTCTCGCACACTTGCTGACAAAAAGCCAAGGCGTGGGACCAGCCCATGGGAAGCACGGCGGAAGCGAGGCGAGGTCGGGCCTGTCCCTCTACAGGAGGAATATGCAAAAATAGTCAAAAAACAGTCGGGGTACCATTGTTTTACCATTGTTGAGTATTTTTTTGTATATTCTTTAAACTATTTTCCATTTTTCGTTCAAAGTCCGCCTGTAGGGGGACACGCCCGACCTAAACCCAGTCCCCAGCTGTCAAAGGGAGACCTCCGAGCTCTGATACGCCGAGGTCCCCCGCGGCGCGCGGAGGCAGCGGGCTGCTGCCGGGTGCGCCTGGCGCTCCGCGCGCTGGTGCTCGGCGCGCTCGGCGCGCGGGTGCTCCGTGCCCTCGGCGCTCGCGCAGGTCGCTGCCGTCCAGAGTTCTTCGCAATGCTCTTGAACTCGGCATCGCTCGGACGTGTGCATTTTTCCTTCGGCGAGGACCATCGAGGAGCATCCTTGATCACTTGGCGAAAAAACCACGCACGAAGCCGAACAAAAACACAGGAAATGGACGTCCGAGCGATGGCCAGTGAACGCCCCTGGCCCGCCACGCAGCAAACAGTGGTAGCCGAGTAGCATTTGAGACCTGACTATGTGCCCCGAGCTTTCTGGCTCGCCTGGCTGTCCTGGCCGATGGCCTTGCCATGCGTCAAAAGCTTCGTCCAACACCTCTTCGAACTTCTCCATACAGCCATGCGTGCCTGCACGGCGAATGCACGCCACTGCGACAACATCGCGGAACCTCTTGGCAACATTCGTCTTGTCAGCGGCCAGGTCTTGTCTGGCCGTCAGCAAGTGCCTGCGCGCGTTCCCGAACTCAACGTGCTTCATTAGATTGTCGGTGCCACCACGTCAGCGGAGGTTTTTCTCGATAGCCTTTTTCATTGGGTCGAAGAGCTCGCCTGCCTTCGCTTTGTCGAATGCATCGGCGAAACTTCAGAACTCCTGCGTTGTTTCCAAGCGCGTGGACTCGTTGTGTGCCATTTGCAGCACCAACTGATCCGCTCGCTCCCAACTGCGCGGCAAGCATCCGCCATCACGGGGAGAGGAGGAGGCGGAGTGGGAGGAGGAGGAGGGAGAGGAGGAGGAGGGGGAGGAGGTAGATGACGACGACGACGACGACGACGACGACGAGGCATCAGTCCCTGGCTTATCGCCTGAACTCGCAAGGTGAGAAGCGCCGCAATGGCGCGCTGCCGCTCGAGCCGATTCTTGGCAAGCGCAGTCTGTGGCGAGCGGGCATGTCGGCGCAGCCACCGGGGCCTTCGCTGGAGGTCCCAATGGGGCCACGAAGCGCGTGAGGTGTGTGCCGAAATGGCGAGGAGAAGGCGTGCGGGCGCAGCCACGCACCAATATCCGCCACCGTCCCGCGAGGCAAGAGTTGGTTGGAGTGTCCTCAGGTTCTTTGGGTCTATGTCCTGAGCCCTGAACGGACGAAGATAACGTCGCAGGTCTCCGCATGTGGTCGCGTCGTCACACTTTCGGTGGCCAGAGGGTCCCAAGACGGGCCAGGAGGGCCCCGAGAGGCCTCCAAGATGGTGCAAAAAGCTTTCAAAGCGGCCCACGAGCGCAAGACGACTAGGATGGCCTGAAGACCACCCATGAGGCCCCCAAAAAGCAACAAGAGAGCCCTATGAGTCTTATCAAGGGCTCCAAGAGGCGACAATCACAGTTTTCAAGTTAGATATTGAGCGGTTTTCACGTTATCGTTTCTTCGGGTTCCCGACGCCCCAAGACGGCCCAAGAGGCTCACATGATCGCCCCAAGACAGCCCAAGAGGCCCAAACACGCACAACACGCCCACGCACACATTCAACATGTATTCCCTCCTCCCTCCCTCCCTCATTCATACCAGTGCGCGCGCGCACACATATTCGCAACATTTGGCACACCCACGCATGCACACACCAACACATGTTCAACATGCTTTCCCTCATGCCTCCTCCGGACCAGCGCGCGCGCCCTCACATACGCACGCACAAACACGCACACACCAACACGCACGCACACACACACACACACCCTGAAGTCGGCGGCGAAGAGGATCCTCAGGCGCGGACGGCAGATGGAAGTGCGTGCCGATAGCGATCGAGCGTTGTCGAAGGCACAGTGCGCAGACGTACACACTGTCAAATGCACCCACGCGTGGTGTGAAGAAAAGATTGCAAATCCAAGCGAAACTTGCAGCGGCCAGAGAACCGAGGGGACAACCCAACTCGAGGTTCAGTGAAGCGCGAGCGGTCTGGTGCGAATTGGCGGCCATTGAATCGCCCACGAGGGTGTTCGACCATGAAGCGCCAGAAAGAATTTAAAGAATTGTACTGGCTGCCGACCAGCCGACGTGAATCACACACACACATTCAAACTGTACTCCCTCCTCCGACCCAGCACGTGCGCTCGCACGTACGCACCAATTGCCACACGCGGGCGCGCACACCAACTGTCGGCGTTCCAACCCTGGAAATTTCGGGCGGGGCACCTGAAAGCCGAAAACGAAAAGGACCAGTCCCACTCCTGGAAAGGGAACAGCCCAACCCTGGAAAAGGGCGCCCGCAGCCCAACCCTGGGAAGGGAGAGGCCCAACCCTGGACCCCCCCCCCCGAGCATTGGAAAGCACAGCAGATGGAGGAGGAGGAGGAGGAGGAGGAGGAGAATGAGGAGGAGAAGGAGGAGGAGGAGGAGAAGGAGGAAGAGGAGAAGGAGGGGAAGGAGGAGGAGGAGGAGGAAAGCAGGAAGAGGAACGTGCTCGTTCCTTTATTTCTTGTTCTGCCGATTGGCGCGGGCCCTTGCACCCCCCCCCCCTCCATGGAGTAGAGATTGGTTGCTGTTGGGCGCTTGTTTCAGGCAGGTGGAGTCTCCCCCACAGGACGGACGCACGGTTGCAAACAGTAGCTCTACGCAGAGGTTTGGAGCCAGACCCCCTTTCCCCCCCCCCCCGCTTTCGCCAAATGTCGAAACGCCGATAAAGAAAACGTTCACAACCCTGGCCCAACCCTGGACTCCCCCCCCCGAGTATTGGAACGCACAGCAGATGGAGGAGGAGGAGAAGGAGGAGGAAGAGGAGAAGGAGGGGAAGGGGAAGGAGGAAGAGGAGAAAGAGGGGAAGGAGGAGGAGGAGGAGGAAGAATAGCATGGGGTACTACCTGCAGGAGGTCGAGCCCATGAACACCAAAGAGGCCAAAGAACTCATGGAACAAGACGCACAGGATATCAAGACGCTGAACGCCCAAGGATGGCAGCAGGACAAGGCGCTGCAGCCAGCAAAGAAGGCAGACGGCGCGGAGTAAAGAGGGATGCCACGTCGGGTCGAGAAGGCTGCCCCCCCCCCCAAACGTTCACCACCGTGCAGCACCGCCCAACGCCAGCAGTACCACGTACGGCACCCCCATAGCCCCTCCGCTGCCCCGTACGGTACGTCTCGCGGATGCAGCTGCGACAAAATTATATGGAGCATTTTTGCCAGCACCGACCTCGACGCTCGGCTTACCACCACCATTCAGAAGTACGCCAACCCAGGCAAAATCGGCATGTTGAATACCGATCGCGGGGACCTATGCCTAAGACTCGAACAGTCGATCCAGGGAAGGTGTGCTCGGTACGAGATCATGGGTGCGGTGTCAGCGTTGGTTGTCAGGCTCCCTTTGGCTACCTGGATTCAGACAGCAGACAGCGCAGCGAGCGCACACGGAAGTACCGATTACCCTTGGGGTAGACCTGGACTCGGCGCTGTTGCGCAAAAGAGGGCCATTATGGAGAACGAGGCGTGGTGGCTCACGATGGACCCGATGAAGATGGCGAAGGAGAAGCGGGTGCCGTTCATCATCGTGATGCCGCCGATGGACATCGAGATTCACATCACGGCCACGGCCGAGATGAGGCAAGCGATGACAGGATGCACCACGACAAAGCTCGAAACCAGGAGATGCGTCGTCGCCTACGGGGTTGTCATTCATGGCGACTTGGACAAGCCCCTGAGGGCGGCAGGACCATCAAGGACACGCGGCG